GTATGCCACCTCCAAGAATATAGCTTGGATGATGATGAGAGTTGAAGACTCTTTTTGTTGATTTTGTTTGTATTACATGTATATCAAGCCAAGGGCTTATTTGTATAGAGTTAGTACTCTTCTTTTGTGTAACTAGGCGTTGACTTGGAAAGTTGTAAGCCCATAGGGCATTTGCTTTTGTTGTTAACATGTAATATAGTTGTAAGAATTACTCTGATGAATAGAAATTGTTGCCTTTCTTTATATCAATGCATGTCTAAAGTGATGGATTTGATGTATTATTTTGAGGGCGTTACACTATCGATCTACATTCACATGGCATGAAAGTTGTAACGCCCTCAATATAATACATAAAACCCATCACTTTAGACATGCATTAATATAAAAGAAACCAACCATTTCTATTCATCAGAGTAATTCTTACAACTGTATTACATGTTAACAATAAAAGTAAATGTCCTATGGGCTTACAGCTTTCCAAGTCAACACCTGGTTACACAAAAAAAGAGTGCTAACTCTATACAAAATAAACCCTTGGCTTGATATACATGTAATACAAACAAAATAAACAAAAAGAGTTTCAACTCTCATCATCATCCAAGCTATAACCTTGGAGGTGGCATACCACCTGTACTTGAAAATAATGTCCCATATAGGGTGAGCCAACGCCCAGTAGAAATATGCTAAACACAGTATGAGCAATAACTAAGATATTAGCAATTGATAAATGTTCAATTTTCATAAATCAATTCATAACCCATTACCATTTCATGACCACTATATTCATGTTTCATTTCAGTTTCCATTTCTTATCAATTTCACAATTTACATCAACGGCTCAAAACCTGGCCAACCACTTATATGAGACAGTGACTCATATTAAGCGTTTCCCATTTTGCAATAGATAAACATATTAGTTGTATCAACGTCTCAACAAGTAAACACACAAGCTGTATCCACATTTCAATAGATATGCATATTAGCTATATCAATACTTTCAAAGATAAGCATACGAGCTATATCAACACTTCCATAGATAAGCATATAAGCTATATCAACACGTTAACTAACAAGCATATGAGCTGTATCAGTGGAGTCCATCCCTTATCTCCTCCCAAACAACATCCGGTTTAGAGGTTCATCCCCTGTCTTCCCCTAAACCGTGGAGTACATCCCCTATCTCCTCCCACACACACAACGTATATACACATAGGTCATATACACAATCAATCAATACATAACGTTAATGTATTCTATCAACCGTCATACTCTATGACATATCCAATTGATTAGTTTTAGTTTACCTAATCATCATGCATTGTCTAAAACAATCAAAACTACCCTCCACCGATAGCCCAAGCAATTATTTCTAAACAGATAATAAAAGCTCCAACAGATAAAATATCACTGTTTTCAAAAGTGAGCGATTAATAAATCCAACTCCACTATTCTACTATATAATGAACCAATTTCATTATTTCCAACTCAATTCCATATAACCACAATTTTTCCAAATTAATCATACCAATTAATTTATACTACCAATTAGGGTTTTCTACCCCATTTTCCAATATTGACCCAATGGTCTATATATTAACAACCAACAACGATATCATTATTTTGAAACCCACAATACACATTTTAGAATCAAAATAACAAAAACCTCTTTTAACATTTTGAAACCCTAAGTCTTAAAATTATCCAACTTCAACACTTTATCAAAACAATCAAAAATCTATGTCAAAGACCATAAGAGTGAGTAGGAATCCCTACCACAAATTCGGAGCCCAAGAGAAGAGGATGAAGAAAACCAAAATGCTCCAAACTCCGAGATCCACGAATCAAAATGAAGCCCTTGACGATCAACACAACTTTTACAAAGCCAAAGGGGAGGGAAGCACTCTAACTAGATCAAACCCTAGAGAGAAGGGAGTTTCTAGAGAAAGAAGCTCTCAAATGGCGTTTTAGAAAAGTAAGAGAGAGAGAGAGAAAGTATAGAAAATGATTCAAAAATGCCCAACTGCCCTCTGTTAAACGACATTCCCGCTCGAGCGAAAAACACAATGCTCAAGCGTCAAGAACAAAAAACTAGGTCTGCTTGAGCGCAAGAAAGCCCGCTCGAGCGCCAAGACACAAGAATAAAGCACATCCGCTCGAGCGCGAAAACCAGTCCGCTCGAGCGTAGATTTCCACCTTCCAGAACATACACCAAAAAGAGTACTACCCGCTCGAGCTCCAGAGTACCCGCTCGAGCGCGACCGTTCGAGCGTAAAGAAATCCGCTCGAGCGTGAAAAACATGCTTGCAGAAGTTTCGCAGAGCACCAAAATACTGGGAGTGTGCAATCTCCGCTCAAGCGCAAGAAGACCCGCTCTAGCGAACCTCCTAAAAACTGGGCAACAAGGAATTGAAACCAAAGTCTAACCAACCCGTAATATCTCTGCCCAATACATCCTAAAACTCAATCAAGCGGAATTAAAGGATGACAACAAGGTATACAACCACCAACATCACGGAACCAAAGTCCGGAAAACAATAGATACAGAAAGGGAAAACCGGGATCGCTATAAAAGTCAACTTTTTTCTTAACTTAAAATATGTCTCTCTTCTTTTTCTTTTTATTTATGTTACCTAATTGGCTCATAACCGTTATTTTATTAAAGGATTTTAACATTTCCTCTTTCCTATCCATCTACATTTACATGGCATGAAAGTCAACTTTTTTTTAACTTCAAATATGTCTCTCTTCTTTTTCTTTTTATTTCTGTTACCCGATTGGTTCGTATACGTCATTTATTAAAGGATTTTAACAGTTCCTCTTTTCTATCCATCTACATTCACATGGCAAGAAAGTCAACTTTTTTCTAACTTAAATTATGTCTCTCTCCTTTTTCTCTTTATTTAGGTTACACAATTGGCTCGTATCCGTTATTTTATTAAAAGATTTTAACATTTCCTCTTTTCTATCCATTTACATTCGCATGGCATGAAAGTCAACATTTTTTTAACTTAAAATATGTCTCTCTTCTTTTTCTTTTTATTTACGTTACCCAATTGGCTCATATTCGTTATTTTATTAAAGGATTTTAACATTTCCTCTTTTCTATTGATCTACATTCACATGGCATGAAAGTCAACTTTTTTTTAACTTAAAATATGCCTCTCTTCTTTTTCTTTTTATTTAGGTTACACAATTGGCTCGTATCCGTTATTTTATTAAAGGATTTTAACATTTCCTATTTTCTATCGATCAACATTCACATGGCACGAAGGTCAACTTTTTTTTAACTTAAAATATGTCTCTCTTCTTTTTCTTTTTATTTAGGTTACACAATTGGTTCATATCCATTATTTTATTAAAGGATTTTAACATTTCCTCTTTTCTATCCATCTACATTCACATGGCATGAAAGTCAACATTTTTTTAGCTTAAAACATGTCTCTCTTCTTTTTCTTTTTATTTACGTTACCCAATTGGCTTGTATCCGTTATTTTATTAAAGGATTTTAACATTTCCTCTTTTCTATCGATCTACATTCACATGGCATGAAAGTCAACTTTTTTAATTGGAAATATGTCTCTCTTCTTTTTCTTTTTATTTACGTTACCCAGTTGGCTCGTATCCGTTATTTTATTAAAGGATTTTAACATTTCCTCTTTTCTATCGATCTACATTCACATGGCAAGAAAGTCAACATTTTTTTAACTTAAAATATGTCTCTCTTCTTTTTCTTTTTATTTACGTTACCCAATTGGCTCGTATCCGTTATTTTATTAAAGGATTTTAACTTTTCCTCTTTTCTATCCATCTACATTCACATGGCGTGAAAGTCAACTTTTTTTTAACTTAAAATATGTGTCTCTTCTTTTTCTTTTTATTTGCGTTACCCAATTGGCTCGTATCTGTTATTTAATTAAAGGATTTTAACATTTCCTCTTTTCTATCCATCTACATTCACATGGCATGAAAGTCAACTTTTTTTTAACTTAAAATATGTCTCTCTTCTTTTTCTTTTTTTTATTTACGTTACCCAGTTGGATCGTATCCTTTATTTTATTAAAGGATTTTAACATTTCCTCTTTTCTGTCGATCTACATTCACATGGCATGATAGTCAACTTTTTTTTTTAACTTAAAATATGTCTCTATTCTTTTTCTTTTTATTTACGTTGCCCAATTGGCTCGTATCCGTTATTTTATTACAGGATTTTAACATTTTACGACAATGTAGTAGGCAGATAATGTGACCTAAATAAGAGTACTTATCTAAATAAGTGTACTTATATAGGTTATATCAAACAAAGGCTAAACAATAGTGCTATAATTATAGAATTAAAACATTAAAAAAATACACAAAAAGCATATTGTGTAATTTAAATTTATTTTAAATTTAAATTATACAACACTTAAAATAAATCTCAATTACACATTATACTTTCTCTACAATTTTGTTCTACTATTGTGTATATATCATGTCTCTTTTCAACCACATCAACCACATGTAATAATTGAATTTCTTTTTATATATAATTGTTACGAGTGATATCTGATAAATATTAAATTTTAAATTTGAATAGGGCCCACAGCTGGAAATGAGGGTTTTTATGGGTCCCAAAAACGCCATCTAAACCTTTTGTGACATTTTGCACCAAGCGCCGAAGACGCGGCCGTCGCTATAACTTTGTGACGCTTTAAAAACGTCGCTATATTACTATAGGCGGCATTTTATAAAACGCCGCTAAAAGTTCTACTATGTCATCACCAAGCTATTTAGCAACGTTTTTAAAACACCGTCGTATCTCTTTTTAAAAAATCTAACCGTTGATATAAATATTTACTGACGTTTTTAGAACGCCATGATAGCCTCCATTTTAAAAAAAAAATTCTACTAATTTTATGTGATTGAACTAAAAAAATTGAAAAATAACACTAACATGAAATAATAACTCTCATTCAAATATCAAATACAACATTAGTTCACTTTCCCATTCAATTTATAATATCCAATCACCATTAATCACAAAATAACATATTCACAAATCATGTTTTAACAAAGACATTAACAGAGAAAGAAGTGTTTAACTCAAATTGATTCAAATTGATGAGAGAGTTCACTGTTAGTCTTCATTGGTCTATATACCTGCATCAGAACATAAATTACAATCAGATTCACCAAAATAAACATAAATTGAAGAATTTGTAAACTTAATTTTCTTAATCACTTGATTGCATTTATTTATTTTTAATTGTTTAATTTTTTTGGTAGAGGTGGTTAGAGTTTTGCTCCTGACACAAATCTATGATTTAAGTTACAACTTTACTCCTTCAATAGTATTTAAACAAAAACTAGGGCTAAAATTTTTGTTTTCGTCCAGAATTGAAAAGAAGCTTTAAAAACAATTTAGATTTTAACAGAAGGCTCTGTTTAAGGGATTTATTACATTTCTTTATTTATTATTTTTCCAAAAAAGACTAAAGCCCATCAATAGCAGGGCAACCTTCCATGTTCAATATGGAGAGCTTGTGCAAACCTGCAATGCACACAGAATAAGAGAGACTATTTTTACAAAGAATTGCAACACTTGTTTGCTTTTCTTGTTGATAAATGACAAGTGCTTTAATACACTATTGTAGAGAAAAACTATTCAAAAAACTATTCATGGAAATCACATCTGCTCTGCAACATATTCGAAGATAAAAAACTCACTCACTTAGAATGACCAAGGCAAAAGCTCTGTATCTCATGAGCTCCATCTAAAGTCTTCTTTGGAAACAGGGTAACCTGTCACAAAATACCATTGTTGAAAACAAATTGAAATGGAATTTAATATTTAATAATTTATTTGTTTCAATGGGTAAGAATCGTCAATTACACGAATTTTAAAATCCCGATCAGCACTAATAATGAATCGTCCATCCGGTGAGAATTCCTGCAAGAACATAAAATTGTTTAGAAAAAGCCCAGCTTACAAGTAAAGGCCATTCATGCATCCACACAAATGTAGCCCTAATTTCAAAGACTTTTATGTAATAACTCATAAGAATTTAACAATGTGTAAATTGGAGCATGTCCTAGAGTGAAGTCACTCACACAAACCTCCACACAACCAAACAAGACCTACATTTTTTTGACTAGCAACAAATTGTTTATTTCTGTACTGTCTTAGCTATGCAAATAGTACAGTAAACATGTATATTTGCCTATGGTAACAGAAATTACAAGAAACTAGGACTAAAATATTATTACAACGCATGTTTCAAACAGAAGGCAATAGCATGCATGGTTAGGATTAAATACAATGGTAACATTCAACAATTTATAGAGATGTAAGTCACCACAATTTATCAAAAAAATTTAACGATAGTCAACAGAAGCAAATAAGTACTGCTATAACTTTTCCCATGCCCAATCCACAGTTTAGCATTCACTATTATGTGCAGCAGATTCAAGGAGGGGAAGGAAGGTTTTAAGTCATCAAGAAGAAGTGCATACTCTGAAATTGCTTCATAACCATCATCTGCAGTGGAGATTTGCAAATGCAAAGGCAGAGGCCTCCATTCATGCCCAGAGATGGGAAACTGAGGTTTGTTGGCTTGTTGCATCCCTATTTATTCATGGATTTTGTTTAAGGCAGGCACTCCTTGAGAACCTCAAAGTGCTAGTACATATTTCTCATTAACCAATGACCTCTTAGTGGCGGCTGTAAATTATATTTACACTCCCTCATTCATTTCAGCATAGAACAGAAAAGGTTAGATTAGTTTAGTTTTGGCTGATTATTTGGTTATCTGGATTATGAATTAGCACCCAATACATGAAACTTTCACTAGTTTTGTTCAACATCTTTGCGTCATATCACATGTGCTGTATAATAGTTCACTTCACTGATAACGAAACTATTATGCTTTTTGTTTCAATTGTGGAAACATGTCATTTAACCCTCACCCCCTTATTTTTCTTGTTTCATTAATCAAGCTAGTTTATTTCTATCCTGCAGAGAAAACTTTATTCTCTTGGAGTTGAGATATCAAGTCTGCGCGATACTGTGAAAAGGAATCGCATTGAACTTGGATTGTTGAAACGAGCAAAAACTTTATCCACAATTGTTGAAGCCCATGTAAGCATACATTAATATCTTGGATAAATGCTATTATTTATTCGATTGATGAGGACATATCCTATGTTATCATTTTTGTGTTTAATTGCTAGTTAGTTCCCTGTCATCCAAACATCTCTCAAATGTGACTCTGCTGGCATAGACATATCTTGATACCAAAATTTTAGTCATGACGATAACTGAAGAAATTATTCTCAGACATATTTTTAACGAACTCTGGACCTGTGTAGCACTATAAACTTTTTTTCTTCAGCCTTCAGTTTACCATCTTCTGAAATGATTTTCAAGACAAAGACAAAAATCTTTTAAACAAATCTAAACAGATCGAAACAAATGGATATAAAGAGAGCGGCGTACTTATAAAACATCAGTATTTATAAAGAGAGCGACGTATTTATAAAACGTCAGTATTTATAAAACAGATGGATTATTCTCAGACATTTCAGTTTCTCATCAGTATATTGAGTAAACAAATCTAAACAGTGTTGTTCAATAACACATGGATATAAAGAGAGCGACGTATTTATAAAACGTCGTTAAATATTAATAAACGCGGCGTTTAAAAAAACGCCATTAAAAAAAGGCTGCTTAAACCCATTTTAGAAATCACTTATCTTTTCATTATAACATGTTAACAGCGAAGAGCTTAGTTTCAACAATTAAAACTCATACTGCTTGACTAAAGTAGAGAGCACATATGAGTAGGCTTGAAAGAGTACAAACCTGTAGCAGTTCAAGACATCAAATATGGTTTTGTTAATTAAATATTTATTTTATGACTTGAATTATTGTCACACATGGATATAAAGAGGACAGGAGACAGTAAACTTTGAGGTAATTTGAACCACAGACAGTAGACTTGAATTAAATAGTACTAATTTCGTAGTATGCGAGTTCAACATGTGGCCATTGAAACTTCAAAATGTGGGTCTGCTTCTTACATAGTTCATTTACTTTAGTACTATTTTTCCTTCAGAAATAATTATTTTCTTTGGCACTCCTTTTTAATCATGCAATGTATTGTGCTAGTCTGAAAATGAATTGACTCTATTAGCATGTTTTAGCAAACAATATGTATGGAATATATGTATATATGTATGCAAGCAAACCTATCTTATGCATCAAAAAAAAAAAAACAAAACAAAACTAACCTGCCCTGAAAAAATAGAGTCATGAATAAGACAGAGCTGATCAAAGCTCCTTAGCTTCTATAGAGATCTGCAAGAACCACAAAGATCTCACCAACAAAAATGGCCATCATGGACAGACTAGCCGAAGTTGACTGTTTTGTACAAAAGCCATATATGCGTAACCAACCTAGACAGCCGGAAAAGCCATGGTTTCACAAGCTTCGAGCAACCTTTTCATACAGATCACGAGGCCAGTTCCTATTCAAATTGTTGGCAAGGAAATTCGCAATCTGTAGAGGGCAAAAAAAAAAACCTCACCATCATCAAAGTTCAAATGGAACATACTTCAAAGCAGATACCAGAAAGCTGGTTCAGCACCAAGAAAACTCATCATCAAAGTAAAGTTAAGACAGTATCTTTCATGAATGAGAAATGTTAGAACGGTTCTATTTTGCGAATAAACATTCAGTTTCCATAAGCAGTGTTTCATCGTGGAAGAACATCATCATTATCAACAGTAAACAAGTCCAGAATAGCCATAAGTCATGACTAAAGTAGAAGGGCACCCAAATCAGACAATGAAAACATAAAGAAAGATCTACGTGTATTGCCAAACATACCTTGGTTCTCAGGGCACGATGTGATCCATCTGAATCTGTGAGATTGTCCAAGCAATGAAGAGCAACCTTCAAACGTCTGGCATACAAGCTTGGACATGGGCTAACAAATTTTGGAACGCATCATTTTCTATATCAGGCGCTCGTGGATCTAAAGGAAGAAAAGGAAGTTTTGCAACCTCCCTCAGGGCATCTAAATGACATCCCGCTCTCGCCAATTTATGGATAGACAATATGGCCTCAAGCTGCCTTAACACAGTTTGTTGTTCCGAAACTTGTTCTCTCTCTTGACACCCTGGACAAAGTGATACAAACCCTATGGGTAGAACTTACCCACGAAATCGGCTTGCAAGGGGGGGTGTCCAAACAGACCTATATTCACAAGGCCTCTGTGTTTTGATGTGGGATGATGGGATCATAACACAAGCTCCTTTAAAAAGACGTTTAAATAAGAAAATGGAATTTGATGCATCAAATTGCACTGGCCATTACAACATACAAACAAAAGATTGCCCTGTAACATAAAGTCATTGCCCAAATAACTTAAAACAGGACAAATATCCAAATAGGTTTGATTATTGATGTCCTATAGTGGCCTTATATGAGTTAATTGACTCATTTCATAAACAAAGATCATCTCCACATCATTACTCTTCACTCTTCAGAATCCTTTGAATTGTAATATGGATGTTTGATCAACTTCAAAAATGGAGGGCCAATCCAAAAAAAAACTTCGAAGATGGAAGGGCATCAATTTAAGCCATTAAATATGCAAATGGCTCTCTTTGAGACAATTCAAGAACACCAAGAAAAGGGAAAAAAAAAAGATAAAAAAGTAAAGGAATAGCCAATCTTTGACCAAAATTACATGCTTCAAATATTGAATGTTCACTAAATCAAACATACAGCAGAAAAAAATGTATCCAATCCTTGACATATACACACAAATTTCACATGCACAAACAAAATACATACAAAACACTGATGATCATGAATGAGAGAGAGAGAGAGAGGGAGAGAGAGAGAGAGAGAGAGGGTACCTCTTTATTCAAAATTATGATGCTTATCTTCTCACAGAGATTGAAAACCCTAAAGAACAAAATCCACAAAAATATCAAAACGCCAACCCCCCAAAAAAGAAACGAGAAAGAAAACAAAAGAAGAAACAACAATTGAAAAAATAAAAAAATAAATAAAAATTATAATCTTGAGTCACGTATCCATTTTTTCTTTTAACTGGAATCACAGATCGATCAATTTCAATTTCATAGTTCTTGGTTACAATTTCAATTTCAATAACCAAATCGAGAGAGACGGAAGGAAGAGCTTGTGAGAGACAGAGAAATCGATACCTCGCTGGTGCAGATGGTGGTGGCGATGGAGCTTCGAAATCGAAATCGAAATCAGAGAAATCCAGCCGGTGCAGACGGTGCTGGCAGTGGAGATTCGAAATCGAAATTGCTCCGAATCTCAAAGATGAATCTGTGAGAATGATAAGGGCTTAGAGAGGGTTGAGAGAGGCGAGATTTGAAGCCGTGAGGATTCCAAATAAGATGAACTTCGAAATCAAAATCAAAATAGCCAAGATGAATCACCGAGATTGTATCATTCTGAGATGAATTGATCCATTGAGATGAATCGATCCATTGAGAGGGTTGAGAGAGAGAGCAAACGAGAGAGTGAGTGAGTGAGTGAGTAAAAGATTAGGGCTACAAAATGAGTGAGTGAGAGATTAGGGCTTCAGAGGCTCGCCCATTTAAGGGAGAAAGAAATAGGACATTTGAAGGCGCTTTAAGACGCCTCCTGTTATTGAAACGGTACCGTTTTAATATTTTTAAAAAATGACGTTTGAAAAGTGCCGTTGAATATTATAAAATATGGCGTTTAATAAAACGCCATTAAAAGAACGTCGTCAAAACTCATATTTGCTGTAGTGGCCGAATTCAATTGTGTCATACATTTTATTACAATCCAATCATAATTGTTGACTAAATTTTAAAATTAGAACTGCCAATTTTACTGACTATTTGGTTTGGAATTTTTAAGAATTTTAGTTTGTATTTTTTTGCTTTTATTATTTTTTTATATTTTAGCCTCCTTTTTTAGTTTTTGGATTTACTTTATCTAATTACATTTAAAAAGTGCAATACTTATGCAAGAATATTTTGAAATTCATTGATTACAAAAAATATATTTAAAAATAGTACATTTTTGTTTTTGTTGTATTTAAATTTTTAAAGATTTTTTTTTATAAATATTATACTTTTTAAGTGTATTTAGATGAAGTTGATCTAAAAAAAATCGATTAAAATGTTAAAAAAAAACACTAATAATAAAAAAAATATAAATTAAAAACTCAAAAAATTATTTTTTAAAATACCAAACTGAATAGTTTTGAAAAGAATCAACAGGTTGGACAAAACAAGGCCATGCATTAAAGTTTTTGCTTCTGCAAAGGTTGTATCATTGATTCATTCAGAGGACGTATGAACGGAAATATTCTCGAAACTCACAAAGAGAAAACAAATTGAGTTAGACCAAAAAAAAAAAAAAAAAGTATCAAATTGCGTTTTGGCAGAAACGTTCTTTTAGATATAATCTCCATTAGTAATTAAAAAATATAAAGCGTTCGTTTGGTTTGTATTTTTAAAAAAAATTTCAGAAATTTTCTCTACTTAAAAGTAATCAAACTAAACAAATTTTTCCAAAAAAAATTTTCAAAATTTGTAAATCAAACAAGTTTTCTAAACAAATCTCTCTCTCACACACATCAAATCAATCACTTTTTCCAAAACTCTCTCTCAAAATAATTTTTCAAAACATCTTTTAAAAAAAATCAAACTAAACAACTTTTCATACTTTTTATCTCTAAAATACATCTTTCAAACACAAACCAAACCTACCAGAGAATTTAAATAAAGGCGCATATGCTTTGAGCATCAACATTTGCACAGCTGCTTTCTTGTCATAATCAAATATCGCGTTGACTTTAAAGTTTTTTTTTTTTTTTTGAAAGAAAGATTACCAGAGGAGAAATCAATATGCAAAGCAGGGGCAACTGAAGGACTCCTAGCATCAACAAAGTCACTCGGTCGTGTAGAGACCACCTGATCGATCTCAATGTCTGATGAAGCCTGAACAGTTAGTCATCCCTGAAGAAGGAAGGAGGGCCGGAGGATTGAGAATCACCATAAGTGCCAGAGCGAGTCTCAGAGATCTCTAGCACATCCACCTCCACACCATTCCCAGAGCGCACCTCATCTCACATCGCCTCTAGGAAGCATGGCCCGCGACATCAATTTCTGTGGCATCAGTCCCTCCAGCAATCTCAACATCAGAACGGTGAGCCCCAACAAACTCGTCACCAAGGTAGTGCTCCTCCTCAGCTACGGTAGGGCGATGACGACGCGTGCGTGGAATAGGTCACAAAAAATGATCGGAGGACTCAGCCTCATCATCATCGTCATCTATAACTGCTATACGAGGGGTGCACATCTTCACAAGTCTTGCAGACAAAGGGAGGGTGTCGTCCAAGTCTGAGTCCGGCCTGGGGAGCAGCATGGCCAGGAGCCACGGTACCGAGAACGTCAACAACCGCAGGATCCTACATAACATGGGCAAATAAAAGTTTTCATTTTAGAAGGTATAGTCGCAAGAAGGAAAGTAGCTTCAAATCAAGAATTTCGGGTACCTCACGAAGCCTTTTGGAAAGGCGAGGAGCGGAAGGACTGGCATCAGAAGTCCTCTTGTGAGCCATCTTCTTAAGGCGGGTCGTCGAGGACCAGAGGCCTTATTCAAAGGGACTGGCTCTGGAGAAGTAATTGCCAAGCTAGAAGCAGATGCCGAGCAGAAGGTCAGTTGGAGCAGATGAAGTGAAGGAAACCCTCGTACATGTGGTCAGATTTTCGGCTCTCGGGTAGCCGAAGAGAAGAATCCTTCTTATAAATCGCGGAGGCAAACATACGGTCGGTCTGCTCTGGACAAATGCAATAAACGCATCGATATTCTTCTGCAAATGGCTAGAGAGAGAATAATGGCAAGGCTCTCCAGGGATCTCCCACTTTCACTCTCAAGGTTGATAATGGAGAGGGGAAATTAGTTCTTTCCAAGAGTTCAAAAATCTCCCAAAATCCATCCCTTGTAAAGCTATGGGTGGGTGCTATTTATAGGCACCTCATGATGTAGGATGGAAACCCATGTGCAAGGCACATGGGGGATATTCTCTCTAACCACCTTGTCCGAGGAGGTGACCTCTCCGAGGAGGTGACTTCTCCGAGGAGGTGACTTCTCCGAGGATGAGAAAACTCCGAAGAGGAGATCACTCCCTCGGCGAACCCTTCTTCTTAGCCACACCTAACCAATGATCCCCATCATCCAAAAGGGTCAGGGGTAGTCCCAGAGGACGTCCTGCCGCAAAATATTGCCGGATCTCATGGACCCCCGGGGGTCGTGCCACCTCGACCCGGGTATAGGCTAGTTTAACCGAAGAGTGAATTTATCTCCACTCACCGTCCTCGGGATCGGGTCCTTTGTTCGGACTCCATTACGCCATGGTTCTGGTACGTA